TTATAGAATGGTTTTATCTGGTCAATGTTTGCGGAGCATGTTTCACCATTCCTGGCTTTTAACACCACTACAGCCTGAGTTATTTTTTTCTATGACATATGGTCCTTCAAATCGTGGAAAAAATTTGGCAGTTTTATCTTCTGGTGCTGAAGAAAGTGAATGCTTAATTTTTAACAACTTCATCCCTACTTTATAAGTTACTCCCCGTCGTTTCATAGTCATAATACAGCTTTCTGTTTTTCTCTGTGCTACTTCAGTGTTCTTTTTTGCTTCTTTAATTAATTTTTCTATATATCGCCCATTTTAAATTCTGGGGCTCTTTGTTGAACATAAAATAATTTATCTAACGGCGTTATAATCTTTCTGCCTAAAAATAACTCAGCAGGAGTTTTGCCCGTTGTATCATGTTTTGCGGTCCTAAGGGCGAAAGCTAATTCATTGACATAGTTATCCCAGCTTTTATGAAAATTTTTAACATAACTACGGATAATTTTCACTATATTTCTATTGACCCGTTCCGCTATATTTGATTGCGGCCGATACGGGACCATTTTTAAATGACGTATGCCCAGTTTTTGGCACATGTCTTCAAATATATTACTTACAAATTGAGGACCATTATCCGATATAACTTTTAGGGGCGCCCCGTATTTTAAAATATATTTATTTAAAATAGAATCAGTAACTAATTTCGCGGAGGCTCGTTTTAAGGGAACAATTTCGGTCCACTTACTAAAATGATCAACCATAACAAGGAGATACCGACTTTTATTTAACTGACTTTTTGGGAAAGGGCCCAATAAATCGATGCCAATTATTTCATTTGGAAATTCGGATTTAATACTATTTAGAAACCCGGCCGGGCGGAAATTAATATAATTAACTGCTTGACATGTTGGGCAGGACTGGACATACGCCCTTGTTAACTTTTGCAGTTCAGGAAAATAAGACTGCCTTCGCGTACGCGTTGGATAGTTTTTTTCGAATACCAGCATGAGAAGCTAAAGGGCTGTCATGTAACTCCTGCAGGTATATTTAATCTAAGACTAGCTGGGATAACAGGTCGAAATTCGTTGTTGGAATTCGTAGTTTTTGTATAAAATAATAGACCATCTATTAGTTCGTAATGGGCCGCCCTATTTCTTATCGCCACAATATCTTGGTGGCTAAAATTTTCAGGATCCTTTAAATACTCATAAATGTTTTTAAATTCAGGATCCTTACCCAGTTCGGTTATTACCAGTTTCTCGGGAATTTATTCGTACATGCTGTGAGCATTGCCACCTTTACAGTATTACCTTCTTCATCTATTTTTATTCTGGATAGGGCATCTGCTACGATATTTTCCTTTCCGGGGGTATGCTTGATTACCAGATTATTCTTGTAGCTTGAGTGCCCATCTTATTAACCTTGGGGATAAGTTTTTCCCTGAGTACAATCTAGTTACCACCGCCGCATGATCAGAATACACTGTTATTGGCGCCCTTCCAAAATAGACTCGGAACTTTTGCACTGCTAACAGAACTGCAAGTGCCTCTCTCTCAGTCGCGGAATAATTTCTTTGTGTTTGATTTAAAGTTCGACTAAAAAATGCCACGGGCTGCTGATTTTGCGAAAGTACCGCTCCTACCGCATAATCCGAAGCATCCGCTGAAATTTCTAAATTCTCATCCTTTTCAGGAAATTTCAAAACAGGGGGCTTTGCTTGTTTTTTTTTCGAAAGCACTATTGGCTTTCGGCCTCTTTGCCTTTTTTCCTTTTTAATTTTAACAATGGTTCAGCAATAGCTGCAAAATCTTTTATAAAGGACCTATAATATGAACAAAGTCCTAGAAAAGAAGAGAGCTTCTTCGCCGTGTTTGGAGTCGGATACTTTTGTACAGCGATTATTTTTGATTCGTCTGTCTCGATTCCTTTCTGAGATATTTTGTAACCTAAAGTATTTTAATTCAGGGGCTGCAAATTTGCACTTTTCGACATTAACTTTTAGACCGGCCTCATTTAATAATGAAAAAACACCTGTCTTAAATCCTGTACATGTTGGTCCAGATTATCACTAGTAATAATGATATCGTCTAAATAGATAAATGTGGACTTTCCAAGAACAGGCCTTAACACAATGTCCATACATCGCTGAAATGTTGCCGGTGCCCCTGAAAGGCCAAACGGCATACGCAGGAATGCATAAGTGCCAGACTTGGTTATAAAAGCAGTCTTAGGCACATCCTCCGGTCTAACCCCTATTTGAAAATAACCAGTCGTGTTAAGTCTAAAAAGTATCGTCATATATTTGGTAAAGTTATGTTCCTTAGAATTTCTTCAATAACTAGGTAACGGATATACCGGATATTTAGTCATGGAGTTTAATTTACGATAGTCAATTGCAAAACGCCACCTTTTTGGATGTGTTACCGGAATAGTCATTATTTTTCTTACATAAACACAACCGGGCTAGCATAACTACTTGAGATGGGCGTTATGATCTTTTTACGTAACATATCTCTAATGTGCCCTCTATATAATTTTTTTCTTTATTCTTATCATATCGGTATGGTTTGTGGCGAACTGGCAGTGAATCTCCGGTGTCGATACTATGGTTAGTAACTTGAGTAAATCCTGGAATATCACTAAATAACGAAGCAAATTCACTTACCACTTGTCGAATTTTTTGTTGCTCTTCCTTAGGCAGGTGGTCGAGGTTTTAACGTTGGTGGTTCTGTTTTTTCTTCTCGAACTGGTTTCACATCGTCAGCTTAAGGGACGCTTCGTTAAAATCTAGCGTTGCTTCTGCCTCTGAAAGAAAATCTATCCCTAAGATGAACATGTGCTTGCAAATTCTTTTTACGATAAAAAACATAATCTTTACTTGTTCGTCCTTGATACGAACGTATAACGGTAATTTACCTATGCACTTGCATCTTTCTCCCTGCGCAGCTAACACTGTCGTATTATCCGAATTATATATGCGGCATTTACGGAAATACTTCCTAAAAAAATCTTCTGCCACACAGGAACACTGCGCGCCTGTATCCAGGAGTGCGGTGGCTGGGATGTTATTCACCTACACTTCAATCTTTGGAAGAGTCAAATTTTTCACCATCACTGTATTTAACTTGAAGGAAGAGGGTTTTTCTTGGTCTTCGGATTTTCGCACCCTCCCGTCAGCAGAAATCCGTTTTAGTTTAAATCTTGTTTCTTCCTTTCCATCCTTCCTTCTTCTTTTTTCCACTGGCCTTCAGACTTTTTTGTGGCTTACTATTGAACTGTCGACGTTCGCCGGTTGTTTTTGGATACTCGAGTTTTCCTTGCCCACTGATTCGCTTTGCTTCCGTAGCCGTGTTCTTGACTTTGCTGTGGTCTTGGCGCACCAAATTGGCTTCGTTGTTTTCTCATACTGGCGTTTTTCTTTCAATGTCCGCCGTTCTTCTACTTTCAAACTGGATTGCTAGCTCAAATAACTTTTCCAGTGTAGTCGGATTCCTTAATTCAATAAAGTCTTGTACTTGGGGAAGTAACCTCGGCAAAATCACTTGAATTATCTCAGGATCCGGACGGTTTCCATACAAGAGTTTAAAGACGTGAATTTTTCTTAAAATAAAGGTGGAAAAATTTTCGATTCGTTGCTGATATATGCTGAAAAGTTCTGTTTCTAATCTTGCACGATCTCTTACGACAGGGAAGGCTTTTACTAAGGCGGTCTTAAAATTTTCGTAAGTATGGACTTCCCGCTTGACCCAAGAGGCTTCTGCCTATACGTTTGAATCAATTAAGCGCTTGGCCCCTCAAAGCGCTGGTAGCTAAGGTGACTTTCTGGAACTCATGCACTGGATACAGCATGAAGTGGTCATCCAATTTTTCCAAAAACTGGTTACCGGTGAGTTTCCATTAAATGTTGCTTCTGGTTTTTCATCGATGCGCGCATGGTCTGGACGATGTAACCAAATCCTTCCAGGGCGGCAGCTGGCATTTCTGGATTCTGAGCCGCTTCTGCAGGCAGCACAGGTTCTTCTTGAAACTCGACCATGGTTATTCTTCTTCGTCGGGCGCCACTATAAGGTTCTGTGTTCCTCCTTACTTGCTTTGGGAACATTAAATGTCCTGACTCGGAACAGGGAGCTTACTAAAGCTATGTTCAATAAATTTGGGAAGTAGACAATACACACAGGAACGGTATACGAAACCCTTTATTTTTCTCTCTTTACAATGATTTCCGGACTTCGGAATACAGAGACCAACCACTTGTGGTCTGAACGTAAGATTATAAAAATATTAACTAAACTCTAACTTAACTTTGGAATAACAAACAAGGGCCTCCGAGAAGATTGGCCGTATATTAACAGGAAGCCGTATGTAGTACAGAGAACTGTTAACACTACGATACGTTTAAAATTATCAAGAGGATTAAACCTCTGGCCTGGAAGGCAACCAGAACCGAGTAACACTACTATGGCAAGCGGCCTGCTTCTAATAGCTCCTTCCTCTCTCTTGCTTGGCAAAAAGCCACAACTTAAGTACTTGGCGTTCGCAAGACAAATTTGCATAAATAAGTTAAAGCTTTTAATTCTGGCCGGAAGTAGAAAATAAGAAGTGATAGTAAAGATTTAATATAAAATAAACGTTAGTAAAACTTAGGATCCTTACATGTTTACCTTGATGTACGAGGTGTGATTTATTTCAACAAAATATCAATTTCTTCTTTCTCATCTGACGTAATTATTAAAAGAATTCCTCTAAATCTGGAACTCGTAACAGTATCGCTTTTGTCAAAAGTGAAAGCGGAAGAAATGTTATTATTAATCGCATTTGAACATCTGCTGTCATATGTGCTGTATCCAGAGTTACCCAAAATGAAAGGATTACAAGCTCTCTCAGACAAAGCAGAATTTGTTTATATGAATTGGCAAAATCATTGTACGAGTAAAATAAGTAAAAATAATTAAATGTAAATTGTACGTAATTTTTTTAGAAACTGTAGAAGTAATAAAATAATAAATACTCACTAAAATTACAATAATGAGTAGATATATAAAATGGCATGTCTGTCCTGTAGAGCTCTTGTATCGTTGCTTCCAAGTAAGGCAAGTTTTGTCTATCCAACCATGAAGGTAGCCGTTCTTTTCCAACCACAGCATCAAGCTCTTCTTGGGCTAATTTCTGCTCCACTGGATGTTTACTGATAGCAGTTAACAGGGTAGTAAGAGCCGAAGTTACAGACTCGGTTCCTTCCATCATCATATTCATTGATATTGCTGTTAGTCTATCCACTGAAAGATAATAGTTTGTGAGTGTGCCTTCAGACGGCATTAATCAAGAACGTTGCTTATTATTAATATAAAATACAGAAAGCATTGTAATCTGAAAAGAGATTAATGGTGAATAAAAATAATGAATTAGAATATTAAATTAATAATGACGATTTATTCGAAGAGCTTCATCTGCTACCTGTATACTGTTTTGCCCAATTAAAATGCGTATAGAGTAATTGTCATTGGGGGGGGAACGGTAAAAAAACACCTTATCAAACCCTCTCTCCGCTTCTTGTCAGATGAATAAATAATTTATTGCAGGAAATAATGCGAGTGCAAACTACTTAAAGTGGATGATTTTCGTGAAATTGAGGATATTAAACGGAAGGATTAACCAGTCTAGACAAAAGCACTTTAGCACAAATCTGGGACGCTGTAGTGAAGGCAGCTTCAATTCGCCTTTCCGCTCCCAGAAACCTCCAAAATATTGCTGAAGCAGTGGAAACATTGCCACAAGTGCTAATAAATTGCCTCATTTCCAGTATGAAGTTATGCTCTGTTCGTGCATTCAATTCGCATAGAATTTGAGTATGAGACCGCTGATTTAAAGCATTTGAGTTATATCTGTCTACCAGTTTTAGTTTTCAGGAATTCAATATCACATGTCATTTATAAACTAAGGTGGATAGTTTATATAAAAAAAATTTAAAAAGAAGAACACTGACTTGTAAAAGAACTTGTTTGCAGCTCTTCACTTTTCTCCAGCTTTCTCCGTTGATCCAAATATACGTCGACATAATCTCTAAGATGGCTTGGATTGAAAGTCTTTACATGATCTTCTATAATATTTTCCACGGTCCTTTTCAAGAGAGCCCTACCCTTACGAACTTCAGATGAACTCGGAAATAGCATCATTGCGATGTACCTTAAATACAACAATAATTAGATGAAATACACTATCACTGAAAACCAACTAAACTTTGGAGCTGTTAAATCTTAATATGTAATGAATATTGATTGCATTTTATATTTAACAATCAACTAAAGTGCTGCGTAACTTACGATTTGATAAAGAAAGAATAACTGAAAGTAATTTGTTATGATAAATATAAGATTTTTAATTTTTCATATTAAAGTACGGAGGAACAATCTTTATATTTAAGCCATACTTAAAGCCCCTTTCTCTAAATCACTAGAGGTTTGAAATGATGGATTTATTGAGAAATATGCTAAGTAACTATCCTTATCAATAAATTAGGGATGTATAGAGAATCAGATAAACGGAATCCGAAAATGGTCCCTTAAACCATAAAATATAAATTTTTCAAAGCTATTAATCTTACGCTGCTTTTAAAATTCAGTTAAATTAAAATGATATTAAAACTTTAAAACTTACATAGATGTTTACAAGAAACAACGAATATATATCCAATAACATATCGCAAGTTAATATCTTACAGACAAGTATCGGAAGACCTATCAAAACTCATTCTCGCAAAACAACACTCTTTCTGTTGAAATGGACTTTAAGGTACTGCAAGGAAAAAGTAATATTTATTATGATAATTTAAAATTTTGTTTTTAATTTCTTTCCTTAAGAGAAGAGATAAAGATTCCTACATAATCCCCATAAGAATAATAGAAACTTCAGTGTAATACCTTTTCAAATTATGTATGGTATTGGATTTTTATATGAATTACAGCAAATGTGCAAGTATGGGTTGACTTTATGAAAAAGTAATTTGCCTCTTCTTCCTTTAGACCAGTTTTTTTTAAGATATTTATAGTTTTTTCGTACCTTAGAGAAGATGATGTATCATCGATCTTCAGTGAAATAACTTATTTACAAAGGAACTAATTTATTAACTAATTTGCTATTAAAATAATTACTAATACTAACTAACTATTAAAATAATAACTAATTTCTTAACTAATTTACAAAATACATACTTCTTATGTACGATGGAAATTTTAAAGAAAATTTCGTGAGTATGGCAGCTTGTATCTTTTCTACTTCTCTTAATTTTTTCATGCAAATGAAGGAATAATTTAGAACAACTTGAAGCATTAAAAAGCAAAACTGTCTATGATATTAAAGAAGCAAAATTGTGAAATTTGAGGAAAACTAAGATAGCAGTGATTAAATAATTGTAATATATGGATCCATCTAGTCTAAGGAGCTCAGTAAGTGCGAAAAATGTGTTTAAAGGTCTTCATTGGCATAGTAGAAGAATTCTCCTATTGAATAGAATAAAAGCTATAGAGACAACCGCTAATAAAAGCAAATCTTTTAACAATTTGAATGCTTAAATTCAGAACTATTTCACCATATAAAGCAGTAGCTTTCAAACTATGGGTCGAAGCTTCTTGAAATATTGGAGTATTTTATCGGAGGCTCCACGAAACGTAGAAAATGATGTTTTTGTTTCAAAGTTTGTTGTAGTTGCTTATTTAAATATTTATAAAAATATTGTTACGAATTGTACAAGCGCGGTAAGATAGCTTCTCCGCAAAGCAGTTTTAGGGTTGCCATAAATTGGCAAGAGAAGGTAGGGTTTCCACATTTGGCGAGAAATCGCCTATTTGGCGACGATTGTCAACAAAATTGGTGATATGCCATGAATGGATGGAGAACCTTCTGGAACGAATTCTTACCGATTTAGCCCAGAATGTTCTCGAACACAAGCCGAAAGCTATATAAACCCTGATGGTCCACAGTCAGAGGGTGCCTCGTCTAGAGTATCGGGTTAGTGTGTCTCATCTAGTTAGTCCGTGCGGAAGACGATCGATTTGACAGCCGGCCAGTGAGTACCGAGTGGGTCGTCGAGAGTCTCTTAGCGTATCGCGGTTAGTGCATCGTCGAGAGAGTGTGTTAAGCTCCGGGAACGACTGAACCGAAGAGTCGGGAGCTGTGCTCTGCGTGTCGTCGAGTGCATTGTAGCGTGGAGAGTCTCGAGAGTATGTGGAGTTCTGAGAACGACCTAGCAGAGTCGGGAGCTGTACTCTGGTGCTTTGCAATGAAGCTGTCTCCACCGTTATAGCCTGATAGTGTGAAGGCTGTGTCGCTGATTGTGTCAGCGTGTTTATAGTAGTTCTTCGATGACTGTAACGCATCAAGTGGTGTCGTCATTATTCACTCCAAATCCTCACGAACCCCGTATATACGTAACGTAACAACTGGTGTCAGAAAAAAACGTAACAATATATTTATTAAGTATGTTTCCAGCTTAATTAAATATGTCTATTCGTACCTGTTTATATATATATACCCTTATATCTTGATTGTCTTGCATATGACATCTACGTCTCTCTATGTTTGTCATTAAGAACGTAGTTCTTGATTAAACGTGGTAATGCCGAAGAGGATGTCAACGGTTAACTCGAAGTAACAGTTCATTCAAGAGTAGTTGGGAAACACAGAAAAGGGAAAAAACACATACCATAATTAACAGAGAACTACAACCTGATTATTAACAATTCAGCTAAATTTTCAAGCATTTTAATCCAGAAAATAGTTCATTGGTTACATAAATTAAATTAACCTTCGGAAAAAAAAAAAAAAAAAAAAGGAACATACTGTGAATAACGGTAAAATAAACATTATAAGAACTGAAAACACTTGATAAACCCAATAAACGATTATGACATTACTTGCTATTACTTCAATTATCCGATGAATTTTTATTTTCCTTTTTGTATTTCTGGTATGTTTTCTGTTATAATTTTCTGATAGTAATATTTGAATGCCGAATATTCGAGAGTTCATAGTATTATAAAATGAGACTTAGTTAATGAGAGATTTAAATATTAGGCAAACTATGAGACCATCATTTTACAGTAATCAGATGAAATTACACCCTTAAACAGAAGACCGAAAAATGTAAGAGGAAAATTTAAAAGATTCTTTTCCTATTTGCATATTTTTTACGGTAAATAACTTATATGGAGATAAAAAATTTCATATCTGTTGACAATTGTCACAACTTATTATCCTCATTGATTAGGCCCTTTCATAAGCAGTTGAGCAGCACAGTTAAAACATAGACCTCCTGAATATCAAGTATCCCTCAGCGCCAATCAGCAAGAAACATCTTTTGGTATCTGATCCAGATTTCATTTGAAAGCTATTTTTTGTCAGATTTTTTCCCATAATTCTATACAATAGTGAAGAGGAAGTAACCAAAAATTTAATTCTGGCGATTGTTTTGGCGACTAAGTCTCCAAAATTGGTAAGAAATCGTCAAAAGTCGCGAAGCTTGGCTAACATTTGGTGGTGTTTGGGTACCGTTCCTGTATAAATATAATTCGTATTGTAATTGAATAATTGTAATTGATCCTTACATTTAACTGTAACCGTCCCCCGCCTTTTTATGTAACTGTACCAGTATATGGCTTTTAGTAATTTAGAGAAAGGGGCATTTTTAGGTTGCCTAGAAAAAACAATAGATAACCGGGGCCCTCAATTTTTCAGTTCAGAGTCAACTTCGGAATACTGAGCGTTGAGCTCCGTTGAGCTTTGTCTTTTTAGATGCACTTTGCATTGCTCTGGGCTTAATGTTCTTAGTACTTTGAAGTGGTAACTACTGATTGCACTCTGTCACTTGAGAAGAGCTGTACGAGTATTTTTGTGAAATGTTCCAATAGTGTAAAGTGTTTCTTTTGGGAAAATAAATTTTACCGAGCTATCTTCGTTTCTGTGTGTATTCAATCCATTACGAACTCGTAAATACGCAACAATGTAATTTATGACATTGATTGTAAAACCGTATTAGGAAAATAATGCATTAAAAGCTACAAAACGTGTGTTTCATAACAACAAATACACAAAAAACATTTATGTGTCTTTTTAATTCGAAAATTTTTCAAATATTTTAGTTAATTTATATCATTTTCCTTCTCTTTAGCATCTTTTCGAAGTTTATTTACTGCAAGAAACAAATAAATGTTCTCAGTAGTGTCTGCTTCATCTCCTAATTTGTTAAAATTTTGACAATATACATTTGAAGAATAATTAGCTATATATATTTTTATGTAATTAAATTTCATCTCAGTAAGTTTCCTCTTCGTTTTAAAATTTAATTAAAGACTTCTATTAATCTGAAAACTGCACTTATTAAGGATATATAGGAGAACAGTAATTTTATTTCATTACTAAATATAACTATGAAATAGTGTATGGTAAAAGCCGGTGTGACCGAATTTTTAAAACTTACATGAATCAACAATCAATAAAATTTAAGGATGGCAAAAATTTTATGATTTAGGATAGACATTAAGCAGTAGAAGTTTTCACCTAGCGGCAAAATGAACAACATAATAAATCACTGTATATAGTGCACTGAGATATATGAGATGAATCTTTTGAATTCTCAGTTTTCAATTTCTTTATTAACAGAAAAATTCCTTTACAGAGATACCTGTCCATGTAACAAGATAAGAAAATTTTTTGCTATTTCCAAGCTTATGTCTAGTGAAAAGAAGAGGAAATAAAAGGAAAATGAACATGTTAAGACTTAAAGATCAAAGGAAGAAAATTCAAATAATTTTGTTTTCACTGGTCTTCCAAAAATTCTCCCCAAAATAACAAATTCATTACAAACTTCCAGTAGAACACGTCCATTACCATGTTAATACATGAAAGCAATTTTCATTATTCATTCATATTTTTCTGAATCTTGTTAAATTTATCACTAAATTTCATTCATATTTTTCCGAATCTTCTGGAACCGCGAGTCTATAAATCATGCATTCAAATCCTTCTTAAGCCTTCAGAGATGCAAGGTCTGAAATTCAAAAGAAAAATTATCCCTACCAATAGTATAAAACCATTCGGAAAAGACAAGGATAAATTGAATTTTAAAAGCAAAGTTGATATACATTTGAATATTCCAAAGAAATTACACCCAGAAGCACTCATTTAAAAATATAAAAGAAAATAAATGAATTTTAAAATAATAGCATTTCTTATCTTATTTTTAGAATCTAATGTCCTTAAGTCGCCAAAAAGTAATGCAGTTTTAAAATATGACAGAAGAAAGTTAAAAAGTTTCATTTTAATGTTATTCCTTAAGTATAAATTCAACATATTATGACTCTTTTAAAGATATTTGTCTATGTTATTATATTTACACCCTTCCCGAAAAAAAAAAGTCGTCGGAAAATTCGCAAATCTCCGAATCAAAATTTCGTATACAAATGATTTTAGCAGCGAACTTTTGATAAAACGCAAATTTAGCGACACATAACAAAAGAATTTATATTCGAAACCACAAAAAGTGCTTTTAATGTATTCTATGAATTCTTGATTGCCAAGAAAAGAAATAATTTCGAAATATTTATTCTTCAATTGCGATACCGAACTCAAGTAACGCACTCTTTATATTAGAAGTACGAACGAATTTAAGCTATAACCTATCAAATACATATTTGTCATTAAAATATTGCCCCAAAATGTTGATTCAGCTTCAAAATGGCAGAAATAGAAAACAGACAGCAAAGTTAGATGAGTAAAATTAAAAATCTTTTGCCAATTTTGACCGAAATTAAGATTTTTTTAAGAATCAAAAATAGTTTCTAAAATACCCTAAGGAATTTTAAGGACCGTACGAACTCTGAAGTCGCATTTTCTAAACTTTCATTAAACAAAGGGCCGAAATTTGAAAGCCTAATAAAGCTCGCACTTACTCCTCAATGCCAGATTTTATACAAAATTTATCTAGAACTGTAGGATTATAAAAATAATTTTCTATAAAATAAACATGCATGAATTTATAGTTTGAATAATTATCTTCTTCCCTTAAGATTTTTGGAATTTTAGAAAAATTTTCCCTAACATATTAAAGTCTCAAGCCCTGTAAAATATATCTTCAGCTACGTATATATAAATGATATTCGTTATAATGATCAGAGAAGAAGGAGTTTTAACGAGTGGATGATATAACAAAAATGAATTTAATATGTTTTTATCATGAAACATTCTGCAACAGTCACTATACCGCACAAGCCGTGTATAGTCGCGTTATGAAAAACTTCGAATTTATACATTTTAAAGGATTTATTTACAATTAATTAACTTTTCTTTAGTCCAAAGGGATTTGAATCCCGAAGGACTATTAGTTTCGTTTTGGCATTTTGCGTCGGACTCATAAATGTCGGTTCACTTTTCAAACTGTTGCCACAAAATGTTAGAGTCCTGCATTATATTTGAAGAAATTAAATAGTGAAAAATCTGCATAAATGTATGTATATTTCTCGTATTGTGATAAAACAACGGTACATAGAGTCATCGAATTTTGAATAACGTAATCCTCCAACGAATATGAGCATGTGGAAGACCAAATTTGAAATTTGAAATTTGTTTTATGATCGATTTCCTATTTTTTAAAACTTTGACGAATTTTTGATTAACAAACTCAAGGATTTCAAAGCGAGCAATGGCAACGTTGTGCAGAAAAAACATTTTTATCTCCAGCGCTCGGAAATTCTAAAGATATGCTCGTTTTTAAAACTATTTTGCGATATTGCTGTTGCACTGGATCTTATGGTTTAAGTGCGAGGAACATGATATTTAATAAAGAAAGGTAACACACAAAATGTTAAAAAACGCCCCTTTGGACGTAATTTAAAATCTGAAACATTTCAGATTTTTTTTTTTTTTTTTTTTTTTTTTTTTTTTTTTTTTGTTTGTGTGTGTGTGTGTGTGTGTGTGTGTGTGTGTGTGTGAATGGGTGGGCTTGCTAAATTTATGCACAAGCGAAAGGAATCCTGGATCATGAAAGTTTGAAAAGAGTTGACAAAAACAGTTTTACTTAAATTAAGAAAGAGCAGTATAAATTTAATAATTCAATCAAAATTCTATTTACATACAAGAACTTTAGAAAAGGTTCATTCAAACTTACTGAAAAAATGGTCCAACTAACATAAAGCGATTATCTGCAAAAATTTTGATTAGGTGATGAACTCCTTTAACAAGTTTAGGGAAGAATTCTCCATTTCGAATTTTCTGGAGAAAAGAATCTGAGAGATTATACTGTTAACGGCATAAGCTACATGAAATTCAAAATGAGTTGGTTTTCCTTGCATTTTCTTCAGATCCTCAGTTAAAATTCTGATTTGGTCGTGAATGCTTTCTTCAATCTCCAGTTTTCCAAAGCCAAAATTTTTAACCGTCTGTGTTCTTTCCACGATGATCCTTCTTCTTGAGTCACACCTTTTCGTAAACAATAATATTCATCATAAATGTGCATGTCCAAAGCAAGGGTTTACAAAATAAAGTTTATCTACATGAAGATTAAGGAAATAAACGTACAAAGCAATTGTTAATTAAAATAAATTTAATGTATAAGAAAAATGTAGTGCAAATGAGATAAAAGATCTTAACTGCTTTGCTTTACATTCAACTTTGAATGGAACCAAAAGGTGTTCGAATGCGGTATCACAGATAACATCTGCTAACTATTTTTTTAGGTTTCGTTCAAAATTGTTGTAAAGTAAAATGATTACTACTTCATTTATCGATAATTTTAACAAATACATATAATACATAATAAATAAATAATGTGTTTTTAAATATATTTCCCTCCAAAAGTTACGTAAGGAATAGATTTTATGCCATAGCTGTTTCAGATCAAACAAGATATAAACATAAAATTTAACACATGTGATACTTTAACACATAATGCAATTTTTCATCATATTTCGTAACTCTTGTACGCTCTGAAAATTGCCAGATGTTGTTTTGAAAACATCACATGAGAGAAAAAAAGGCTTTATAAACTTTTCTAAGTACAACTGAAAAACTAAACATGAGTATAGCATATTTTCACTCCTAGTGTAAATGCAGTCTTGACATTTCTTCATACTATCAATTCTTCTATCATACACTTTAAATAAGAGAAACCAACAGAGCTTAAATTGCGCCGGAGCCCACTGGAGCCCGGCTCCGAAATTTGCGATAAATCGATTTGCGATAAATCGTAATTCTAACCGGAGCGCACCGGAGCCCTAAATAAGAAAGCTCAGGCACTTCTTTTATTTAACTGAACAACAATTTCAGTAGAAATTTGATGTCGAAAATTTTATTTTTAGTAATAAAATTGTTACTAAAATCATTAATTTTTTTTAACTTTTTAATTATTAACTATTTTATTATTAATATTATTAGCCAAAAGGGAGTTAGCCCAGAAGGGCTATTAATTTCGCTTTGGCATTTTGCGTTGGTTCACTATAAATGTCTGTTCACTTTTCAAATTGATGCCACCAAATATTAGAGCCCTATGTTATAGTTAAAGAAATTAAATAATGAAAAATCTGCATAAATGTATATATGTTTCTCGACCTAGACTCATCTAGGTAAAACAGATATACCTAGAGCCATCAAATTCTTAGTAACGGTAAGCTTCCATAGAATATGGGTATCTGGAAGTCCTAATTTGGAATCTGAAATTTGTTTTATCACATTTCATATTTTGTAACATTTTAAGGAATTTTTGATTAACAAACTCAAAGATTTCAAAGCGAGTAATGGCAACATTGTACGAAAGAAGAAAAAAGAAAGAGTTTTATCTCCAGCGAGCGAGATTGTGTATCGGAAATACTAAAGATATGCTAATTTTAAAATTATTTTTCGATATTGCTGTTGAATTGAATTTTATGATTTAAGTGCGAAGGACATGATATATAATAAATAAAGGTAATACACAAAACGTTAAAAAATGTCCCTTTGTGTGTATTATAAAATATGAAAACATTCAGGGTTTTTTTTTTTTTTTTTTTTTTTTTTTACTTATTTATTCTTATTCCTCTTTTCTGACGGTCTAGCGTACTAATTTTAGAAATTAAGCCCTGGAAACCAAACTCCTATTATGCTCCGTTCAGTGATTTTGGAAGAGCGGACATGACAGCTTTCTGTCTTCGTAGGTAGAACTCTAAATGCGCATATGACTTTCTATTTTAAACTGTAAATGCACATATGACTTACTATTTTATGACAAAACTTGTTAAACCACTAGTTCAATTATGTGACTTCTAAAATAAAATTTCAATGCATTATCTCTGATCAAACTGTAATTCTCATTCTTTAAAACAAATGCATCCAAAACAAATCCACAGGCAAGTGGTGATTCTCCTCGTTATTAATACACATAAATTTATCGAATAACTCCAGAAAGAATGCTCGGAGCGCCACCTAACGGCAGGCGCTATCAATTCATAACAAATTATAAGGGACCTCTGTAGCTATAGTGAACTAAAGGGACTGTTGGTAACGAAACGGCAGGCTTGTTAAGAATCTGATTCCATATCCCATCAACAGCAGTACAATTAATGTTTAATTGTTCTGCCATTTCAGCCTGTAATAGATCCTTTTCTACTCAGCCATTTAATCACCATCACGTAAACGATTTCGCTGAAATATCGCGCATAATTAATGCAAACACAAAGTTTCAATAACTAGTAAGACATTTTCGAAATCAAAGCGTTTAAGCAGAAAACATTATCAGTTTCGTTATTCACAAATTATGAACTTAATTTTAAAAAAAAATGTGAGTTACTATCTTTAATGTCGTAAATTTTTTCCCGATAGTCCCCTTATCGTAAATTGTATGTCATAATCTTATCATTTCTTTTTGATAAATTTATAGGAAAAACTTTTTGCTGCTTAACATTTGGAGAGGAGAATATATTTTATAGAATTTCGATTATGTTAAGGTATTATTAATATCCACTTATGAACATAAACTTCAAGAACTGTAATCGTCTTAATTTTTTTCTCTTTACTGAATTTTTTTCCTAAATCATGAATAATTTTTTATAGCTTCTCGTTTCTATTATCAACAGTGTTTTCATCCGAACTAACTTCATGAAACCTGTTCATGCAAACTTTCGGTTCGTTCTTTTTATGTTGTCAAAAATTATTAATTAGATATGCATAAAAAATAACGTATATTAGTCTCTTGAAAGGAGCTGACCGGTTTGTATGGGGATTAGCAGAAACAATTCAGCATTAGTGCGCATAAAATCGAATCCCAAATGTTCATGCTTTGTTTCCCACTCTGAAAGGTTCATATCGATTAACCCTTATGATGCATGGTGGTCAGTGGTTCCCAAATGTTTACTTATTGCACCGCATATGCATGTAACTGCAGTTTTGTCAGGACCTATATACATGCAGTTCTTTTAAGAAAAGGAGAGAGAGTAAAGAAAGAAAGAATGGAATAGTGAAATAATAGTAAATGCGTGTGTGTATAGATATCTTGAAAATAAATGTATAAATTAATTAATCACTCTGAACAAGTATATAGAATTATATTGCATAATAAAAATTTTAAAACTTTCTGCGATCCCAGAAAATTTGTCTTCTGTTCATTTGTGGGACGTAACCGTCATACTGGAAACCACTACCTTAGGTAATAACGTATTGAAAGACCCATAGCTTCGATCCTTTCTTAATAAATGTTGGATTCATAAGTATTCGAAAAATGGGCAGAGATTTTTTTTAAGTCAATGGACTGATAAAGTCATCTAAAAAATGAAAAAACTATAATTAACTCTAAAGTATAATAACGCAAGCTGAAAATAACTTTAATGACGATAATATTTTCAAATTAAAAAGTTAGTGATAATTAATAAATAAATATAACTTATATGAGTGTATTTGCCGTTTCGATTTGCTTTAGTTTAATTTTAAGAATTAAGTTATTACTGCTTAGTTGATCATAAGATTGATACTTGCCATTCAATTGAAATAAAATGCTTCTAAATTTTACGCATTTTTTTAAGAAGGATATTGAATAAATGATTGCAAAAGTATATTGTAAGGGAAAAATTGTGAAAAGTTATTAATTGTATTCAGATTAAATTTTAAAAAATAGAACGATATGAATCGCACAAGGGGATGCAACATCTTATGCTTGACCAGGCTTTACGCACTGGAGGTATTAAAACTACTCCCGTACTTACTATGCATCTGCTTTGTGACCTACAGCCAGTGACTAACCTGGTTCGGAGGAATGCAGCTATCCTTTATAATAGACTTAAGTAAATAAATATTTGGGAGTCTTAATAGATTCCCAAATATTTCTTTTTGGCGTCAATACGATTTTAACAGAGTACGTAATCTAAAGACTCAGAAGAGCTTCATTCAATACGTCCAGGATAACGTTCAATATAATGATGAATTGTTAACTCACATAAATGCACTGGAGTTTATGGTTCTCGATGTCAGACTGGACTTGACTTTGAATGTGAGGGAAAACGACCTATGCACAACTGCTCTTCGTGCCATCGCTTTGGAAAACATTAATACTTGGTATCCTCCTGGCGAGTGGCTTCATATTTACACTGATGGTTACATTTTGGATTTCATCCAGGGTGCTGGTGCTGGTGTCTTCTGTGATCTGTTTTCCTTTTACCTACATGTTGGCTCTGATACAACCCATTTTGACGGTGAAGTAGAGGCCATCCATTTAGCCCTTCAACAGCTTTCTGCACGTCTCTCTCCTTTTGATAAGGCTGTAATTTTATCGGGATCAAGTTTTGCTTTTCACGCTATAGCAAGTGACTTAGGAAAACAAAGTATTCCTGTCCAGAGATGCAGAGAACTGTTGAGCAGAATTCAGATAAAGGTTGCTTTCCAGTGGGTGCCATCACATTGTGGCTATTGGAGAAATGAGATGGCAGACCGTTTGGCAAAACAAGGTACGGATATTCTCCAAAGGTCTTCCAGATACCTATCTCTTCCCTCTTCTAAACTTGAAATCAATAGGATTTATAAAAAATCCCTTTGTAATGCTGCTGTTAGTCCTACTGAAAATACCTCATGGAGGATCCTATTAAAAGCCGACTGTATCTCGATCTCTCCTTGTGCTACTGCTGTGGCTGAATTTAGACTATTGACTAGACATGACTGCCTTGGTGCTCATTTGTTTCGTTTTAATCTGACTGCCTCACCTTTATGTGCTTTGTGTGATTCTGGACAAGTCATGGGCGCTGCTAATCTGGACGTGTGCTATGCACTTAAGAGTTTGGACTGTATTGTAAAGAAGTATTAGAGAACTCGTTGCAAATGACCTGGTGGTCAATGGCCAGGCATTTGATAAATAAATAAATAATAAATAATAAATCTTCTGCTTGACTATTATTAGATTAAGAGAAAAATAGTTTTTAAGCCTAGAAAAATCAATATTTCTATTTTCATTTATTCTAATATTACAAAGATAGTTTTAAAGATTTTGAATAATAAATTATTATATTCAGCATCCAACATAAAAAGAGCAGAAAACAATTCTTTGGGAAATAGTAACCTTTAAAACTAAGGTTTCAGTGACAGCACAGAGCTCACAAGAGAGCAGTATATTGTAGCTGTCTTCGGGCTCCAGCTGGAAGTGCCTGTCTTTTTATCTCCGTTAATCACCGTTACCCTTGAACTCTCTTGCCAGAATACTTGGATATAGATCCAATCTTCTGAAACTGTTCTACAACTTTCAAACGAAGCTAAATTTTACACTGAAATCTCTTTCAATTAACACTTGGGATATCCCTTCGTGTAATCTACAGCCGATTCTCCACGTCATTCTGTCATCTAAACGTTTTTGGTTACTCATTCTACCTCACTGCTCACGTTATTTAATAAAATTTTATAAACGCCATCGTTATCCCTTGTGTGTATGAAGTAAAAGCGAAACCGCAAAAGATTGCTTTACAGATCTACCGCTGTCTTAGTGCCACAAGTTGAATTATATATTCGACGCAAATCGCCTGATCTAGATTATTTCATTGTTATTTGATCATACATTTGCAAGTTTTATTTTAATTGGTATGCTATTTTTATCTTAATACTTTCCTGTTTCTTCTTTTTCTCTTGCTAACCTCCCAGAATTCAAATTAGATGTATTTAAATAGCAAGCGATTAAGTAATGTGGAGACGATTTGGTAATAATGCACTAACAAAACTGTTTCTATCGTGAAAGAATCACCTGTTGTGCGAACTAGGCTCTGTGAATGTTTCCAGTATTTTAATAACCTTTGTGTTTTAAAGTCGCGAATAATTGAAACCAGATTAGTTACGCCTAAATATAATAGTGTAAATAAACTCGGTTAAGTTTTAATTCTTGTCCGTGTTTCTTCGAATCTAGACTTCAGGTTAGTGCAAAGATGATAAATCATCCATAGCAAAAGTTAATCAAGGTATAATTTAAAATTAGTGTGGTTTAATTGTATATGCTTTCCAATTTCAATTCAGCATTTTTTTAGCACGTAGGAAGTACTTTTTTATTATCTTAAGTGCACCGGTGTAGTTTCAGAATGAAGCTTAAAATTTTCTTTGAAAGCATGTGTACTTTTTACTCAATTCTGAGAGCTAGGTTTAAAAGAACAAAAAACTTTCAACATATACCTCAACAATTACTGATTTAGAACATTGTTTTCCACAAGTATGTGAGTTTGTTCTCACACATAAAACTTAAAACTTGAAATGCATAGACACAATGAAATTCAATGCTTCTTGTGAGAAATCATTTACAAACAGAATAATAGGACTAAATTATTCATGTCGTATTTATAGAACAATATAATATATAACATCTAAGAAAATAAATAAAGATATAATCATACATACGTAAAAGTACTGTTTGGAACTACTTTGATATGCGCCCTCAAGTCGCCAAATTTCTCGCCAAATATTTTTGGCGAGAAACTCCACGCTGCCATATTGCTATCTAAATTTTTTGTCTACATTTCGAACATTTTGAGTCTAAATTGTCTCCAAAAACACGGTTTTCGAGAATGCAAAAAAACTTTTTGAACACACAATTTAAGTTAAAAATCCGAAACAAAAACAAAAAATTCAGATAGCAAAACCGTAAAGTTTCTAACAAAAATTATTTGACAAGAGTCCATGTACACAGAGATATGTTTTAACTTAAAAATCACCTACGAATGGCACAATCTAGGCAACGAAGAAATCCACGAACTACGCACACCTGGCTTTAAAAAATTAACATAACAACAATAAATTTCAAAGAATGCCATGTGCACAGCATTTTTAAACTTAAAAAACACACTGTTTAAACTTAAAAAACATTTACGAATTGCACAATTTAGGCAACAAACGAATCTACGAACTACGCACAACTCACTTTAATAAATTAACATAACAATAATAAATTTCAAAGAATACCATGTACACAGCGTTCTGTTTCAACTTAAAAAACATCTATGAATTGCACATATTAGGCAACAAACGAATCTACGAACTACGCACACCTCACCTTAATAAATGAACATAACAACAATACATTTCAAAGAATACCATGTACACAGCGTTCTGTTTCAACTTTAAAAAACATCTACGCAATTTAGACGGTACGCACTAATCAACAAAATAACTAAAATAAACTTCAAACAGTTAAAAAAAACAACAATAACGACAGAAATTCATACTAAAAAAACAATGAACATAACATTCTACAAAATAAGAACAAGAACAAAATAAAATGCACTTACCATTAATGCTTTTTCGAACAGCAGAATTACCAAAACCTTTAACATGCCGCCACGTAATCACTATGGTATTTATATATGTCAGCCAGGCACACTATCCAGAAAATTCATACTATGGTTCACAAATAAATAAAATAACAAATAATCACAAATCCCTACTTCTATCATGCACAGCCACTAAAAATAATCTCCCAGAACCTCTTTCCACACCTCCAAATACCCACTGCCCCTTAACAGGATGGCCACGACGATATTTCCTTTTGCCGAACTTCAATTCAACAACTTCCACCATTTTAGCTTCTCAGACACAGAACATGACGCGAACCAACGAACTCCAGCGAAAGATTTTTCAATGTCAACAGGGTTACCATACAACACGCAATCGCACCAAAAACCAGCGCAGAACACATATCGCCACATTTGGTGAAATTAGGGCGTATATCAGAGTTGTACCTACTGTTTAAATAAAAATGAAATTGTATGCTTTTCTTTGTTTTCTAGAATATAATTTTAAGCAAGGAATAAAATTTTGAAGTATGATATACATTTGCAACTAAATCCCTATTCATTTCTTTTAGCTCGGTAGTACATATATATATAATGTTTTCTAACTGTGTAAATTCTCACTGATATTTTATCATCTAAAATTCTTCTACCACGACCTATAATTTAGAAAATACCACGAACTTCGAAGCTGACAGTGGCCAAGATTAAACATTGAGAGCCATAAAATATTTCAAAAGAACCCAACACAATTTTCCGAGATGTAGTGATTGATGTAGATAAAGAATGTTGCAGAAAAAAGAAAGAAAACCAGAAAACAAGGTACAACATGTAAAATAATTATATTTTATTGGAAACGATATGCTCGAAACACTTACCCAATCCATCTGATATCCATTCCAACAAATTACTCTCCTGAGGACGGCCTATAAATTCTTCAGCTCTGTTGACTAAAATTTCTTTGATAAGCTTCGCACCGCTAAGTACAACAAAGAGCTTTCCACCAATAGTTCTGAAACTAAAAACATCACCATAACGTTTTGCTAGATGGTCAAATTCTAAATAAGGTTTCGAAGAAAGGAAAAAGTAGTAACCAAAGAATGGTAGGCCCCAAGGACCAGGAGGAAGATTTTGATTGTTCTTCCACCAATTCACGGTTAGCCATATCAGAAAGATTGCAACAGTGGTTAAAATTATTGGCAGAGATAAATACTGAGAAAACAGCATGATGAACATGAGAGACACACAGAGGTTTTTAAAACTAACTAAGAGATGATGCATTGTTACATATACATTTATTTATCGATGAGTAACCTGTGATAAGTAAATCATAATCTCTTAATAATGTTATCATATTTCAGAAAAACAAAAACTTTCCGAAAATTATCATTCTCACTATAATCAATAATTACTGAAATTTAAAAAACAAATAACGGCAATCAGTTCGTTTTGTTTAAGCAGCTGCCATTTGGATACTAATTCTAAATATTCCAGTATTATTTCAAACATTGGAACGAGGAACAGACGCTAATAAAACGCTGATTGGTTTGAAATCTTATGTACAGATAAAATTATCGTCTAAACTGAAAACTCCCCGCATTCAGTTCGCTGACGTTAAAATTTAATGACCTCATTTCTATTCTCTTATACTTTAAATTCATAAATGCCATTAACGGAAAGAATTAAATTTTTTCCCTCCATGCTTGATAAGATAGCTCTTACCTGTCATTTAATTATATACAAAATATGTAATAAAAAGTAACAGATTCATGGAATACGATAGCGAGAGGCATCCCAAGAGATAACTATTATTAACGGCTCCAAAATTCCATTGATTACAAGAAAAAATGTATTTATATAATTGATAATGAATTGCATATTGATATAAAGCGTTATTGTCCTGATAAATTAAGCTTTCAATACATGGTACAAACATGGGTACGCTAAGTTTTCAAAACACATATGTACAGTAAATTTTGTAATTTAAACGTCATCCGGTAGAAATATCCCAAAATTGTTGCCAGACAAACATTACTGACGCATTCCTCTTCTTACCCAGTGGAAGCGAGCTTTATTAATCAAGTCTGGAATTCATTACATATTTCCAGAAACAGGTTGATTTAAGAATTAAGTTAAGCGATGTTGTGCCAAATATTCGAAAAAAACTGTATCAATACACCAAACGCAGCAACTGCATTAATTAAAATCGAAACTTTGGGCATTTGGAATTTGTAGTTTTGTGTCTGATAACTTGTTTCATATTTGTAAAACTGAAGCTAATAATAACGCAAAAAATAGTAAAATAGAAGTCGAATAAATCTTTTCCAAAACTGTCGTTCATTCTCTTAGCCTAATTGTTACGTTTAAGCTATTTATGCGCGATTATTTATATTGTTACGAATTTGGTATTTAAAATGCTAATTTTAGTAGAATCATAATTAAAATTTTTATACTTCCCCGTGCAATACAGCACGAGGAAGAAGAATAAGTTTAAGACAAAGCTATGCCGGAAAAGTAAGAATACAGTGGTGCGTGCATTTAACATTGAGTAAATTGTTATCTCGGTAATTTGTAATGAAATTGAATATATGTAATTGACCACTGTGTTAGCTGTAACCGGAATTCTATCCTCGTATTGCTTACCGGAAATCTTGAGAAGCAAAAAGTACTAGAAATTTCTTGCGACCGATTGAAAAGTATAGAAGGTCGGAGATAGAGCATCCCAGCTCAGTTGCTTAGTTAAAGCGTTATCACATTCATTAGCTGTTTGTTGCCGGGACAAAACGTTTGTAGCAACAGTTCTGAGAAATGGCCTTTGGCGAAATAGGGTTACCATCTTCACTTGGCAAACAGGCTGAAAGCCAAACAAGAATCAGTTATCGCTCAGATTGGCGAAAGTTACGTTTCCGTTTCGAAGTGAAGATTCGTTTTCCTTTCGTGTTGTATTTTGTATCGCTCACACGCTTTTCGTTTTAAACTTTATTGTTAGTAATGGAAGATAATAGAAAGGTGATTGCTATCAAGTTAATCACTTTGATCTCCACTCTGGCACTTCTGGTTATAGCAATCAATTACATCAGTAATAGCCAAATTCTGTATACACTCTAAGAATAGTTTAAAAACATGTGCTGGATAAGTCTATTTATCACACATCGCTTATGTGTATTTTCTGTTGTCTGCATTTCAATGAAAATTTGATGGCTCACTGGAAAATTTGTGACCTGGTGAAAACATTTTCTGACTAACTTTATGGCTCATAATTACTGTTCTGTCCATTCAAATGACAAAAATCTATATGGCTGATATTTACCTCCTCACAGCCAGCAGATACTATTCAGCAAAATGAAGATCAAATAAAGCATATGAATACATGAGCAATCAAACATGTGCGAGTTGTTTACTGTCCAATAGAACACTCGGTAATATACCTAAAACACATTAATTATACCAACTCTAGAAATTAGTTCACATCATGAGTTTGTTTTATGGTTTGATTTATTGAGATTACAGCAAAGCACACTATCTGCCTAAGGGAAGGGATGCCTTCGGGGGAGGACTTTCTAAGGGAAACTGGCTCGTATACACGTTACACATGGGGAAAACCACGAAAGCGTCCATGCAGCCAGCCCGTTCCCTGGATTCGAACCTCGGACCGAACTACCAGTGTTCAGCGGCTTTACCGCTCGGCCGTTGGTGCGTCCGTTGGTTTTATGTGATTACCGCAAAGCCTCGAGGGATAACAACAGGAGGGATCCCTTTGTAGAAGATTTTTTAAAACTGTCTCGTATACCAGTTACAAATGGGGCAAACCAAGGAAACGTCATGTAGCCAGCCCGTTCGCGGCATTCTAACCTGAGACAGAACTACCAGTGTTCAACGATGCTTCGGCCACTAGTAGGCCCGTGCACTTAATTGGAAAGTGCAATTCATTATGTAAACAGACATGAAGGTGATAATCAGTTGTGCGCTGTTTTAAGTAATCAAATGTTATAAATGCACAGCTGTTACATTTCTTATTATTTATTAGTCATGTTTTTATTACGTAGATCATACGTATGATATAATTATGAATTAACCCAATAACAAAATGTGTACACTCTTTAGTACTCAAATACTCATCAATTATTTTTCAACTGATTATTACATACCCATAATAATTTGCAAAGAACTTATGACTATAGTTGCTGCCAATTACATAATCGTTATCTGAATTAAAAGTAACTTCAAATAAACTTCTTGGCAATATTCATTTTTGTATTCATACATACTTATATATATACACATCTAATAAGTCATATATTTACATGCAGATAGAGAGATGCGATGTTTTAGAAGTTGTTAATATATATTTATTAGTATTAATGTAATGAATAAGATTTATATTAATGAATGCATATACAAATGTTTTTCATCATGCATAATAATAAATCCATAAATTTTTTCATGTTTCAATATGTAGCATTTACAATAAAAGTATAGTTTCTAATGTATTTATAATTCAAAAAGTATTTCATTAATAGCATGAAAATAATAGACAAATTTTATGAGTATTCTCATTATTACATAAGCTATGCTTTTCTTTTCTTTTTATGCATCTTTTATGCTGTTTAAAATGTGTCACTGATTATGCAGTTAACAATTAAAAGATAAGTAATTAGGAGAAAAGCCGCGCATATACAAACGGATTTTTAAAAATTATTCAACTTAAATTTAAGAAAAAATTCTATTATATAACAGTGTTATAATACACGATCATCACGAAATACGACAAATTTGGCGAACTTTGGCTACGAACAATTTGTAAACAAATCCGAAATGCAAGAACGTCGTAAAATACTGTCAACTCTGAAATTTCCACGATTATATATTTAATAAATATATACACATTTAAAAAATGACTCAGGCAGTGGTATTACAACAATACATCAATAATTAAATCGGCCTCTATTTCCACCGTCCATCACTTCACAGTGAGAGCCATCGCCATATTGAAAGTTACCCGTGATCCTTCAGAAGCTGACCTTTCGTCTGATTGGTTGAACGTTCGAGGAACACGTCTCCAGCCGGAACATTTTGGGACAAGTTTTAAAAGGTTGCTCGTAGCCGGGACACGTTCCTCCCAGCTAGACGAAGCATTTCTCGGAAGCCTGCCGCTTAAAGCCGTGCTACTAGAACCTCGTTTCTCGGAATTGTCCCGGGTAAGCGCGCGCGTCTGTAGATGTGATAACAGCATTACTGTTGTTGCGAGTTGTTATTTTCGTGTGAACTGAGAAAACCGAGTTAGCATTTTCTTTAGATGCGCTTTGTATTGCGTTGCATTTAACGTTTTTAGTAGTTTGAAGTATAACTACTGATTATGTTGCGTGATATTGTGAACACTTGTACGAATATCTATGAAGAAATTACAGAGTTGTGATACATTTCTTTTGACAAGAATAAATTTTATTAACCTTGTAAGGTTATTTTAAACAGTTTTATTTTTGAGTTAAACTTCTTTCCTATCAAATCCTTAACTTCAACTTACGACTTCCGGCCAGAACGTAATTTTAGAATCACGTCTGAATACTTAATGAGGAAGAGCGGTATTTAACCTCGAAGTTCTACTTAGAGAGAATCGGAATTTCTGATTTACGCGCGTCTGCCTTTTTGGCTACTCTCTCTCAAAGCTGTTATTACGCTCGGCCGTACTCAGGCCCTTGATAGCTTCGTAGTCAACTAGAGTTAAGGGGCCAACTCGGTTAGAATCTTGATAGCTTCGGCTATATCTCTTCAGTTTAGATTAGTTTTAGTTCTTTATACCTTAAGTTCAAAGCCCGAGCGTTCGGCTTTATTGTAAAACTCCTGTTAACTTTTATCTGAATAATAAAGGGTTATTTTACCCTTTGTGCTTGTTGTTTCATCTACACGAACTCCAGCGATTATTCGCTAACTATCTTAAGGTTACTCACTTTTGGCTGCAAATACACAGTGGTAAACCTCACAACCTAATTTCGGACCTGTGCATTCAATCTATTACGGACCCGTACGTACGCAACACCTTTTGGTGTCAGGAGTGGCACTAAACGACAGTGACAGTAGCGAAGTATGAGCAATTAAGACAGCTGCTGGCAGCCTTTGCCACATTCAAAGAAGAGATAAAAGCCTGTCAAGACTCCGTTAAAGGGAGATATGAAAGCCGTTCAAGAAAGATAAAGTCGGTCAAGAATTCGTTAAAGAGATGAAAGCTGTTCAAGGAAAGATAGAAGAATCCGTTAAAGCAGAAATGGAAGATATTCAAGGAAAGATTGAAGCAGGTCAAGAGGAAATAAAAAAATTATCTGTATAATGAAAACAAAATTTCAGGCTATGGATGGCAGAATAGATACTTGGAAATAAAGTTGGATACACGTAAGAAAGATTTTCATCTGTGAAGGAG